GCACTATCTTTTCGCAGCCTCCGCTCATTTCATTCAAACGCGACAAAAACTTAGGCAATTTTTTGGTCAGAAGTTCTTTTCAGACTAATGAGCAACCAGGCACTTTTAAATGCGCTCGTGCACGATGCAAAACGTGTCCTTTCATTCACAACACTGATAAAATATCGGGACCTAAACGATCCATTAAGATCACCGATCACTTCACGTGCACCTCCGCCAATGTAATCTATTGCATAACTTGCACTTATTGCAAAAAGATATACATCGGCGAAACAGGCAGAAGACTAGGTGACCGATTCCGAGAACACCTTCGAGACGTGGAAAGGAATGACAAGGACACATCGAAACCAGTCGCTAGACATTTTAATTTACCTAATCATTCTAAGCAACATATGGCAATCTGCGGTCTTTCCTTGCACTTAGGTGGCACGGAAAGCCGTAAAAATCTTGAACAAAAGCTCATCTTTCAAACCGGCAGTCTAAATCCCACAGGGATCAACGAACGCTTTTCATTCCACTAATTTATTCATGTTTTTCTCGTTGCCATGCTCCCACCAATAACGTAGCTCCATTTTCTGCCTTTAAAAGCACACACAACCCACAATTCCTCTATTCGCTCCGACGAAGGGCTAACGCTCGAAACGTCAGCTTTTGTAATCATTACGGTGGTCAATTTACCATTTCAACTTTGTTGATATATCCAAATTATGCGTTAATGATAGGCGCTGCAAACACACTTTCATTTCGCTATTAGTTGACACGCTTCGTACAAAAGAAGACAAATAAAATGATATGATTGGCTATGAGAGACCTTTGATCGTTTGCCTGAGAATTTTTTTCATAAAGACACATGCTGATCTACAGGACTAATAATACTACGGAAACCGAATACCACGGCTTATATGCAATACCACAACGTATATAATCAGCGGCTCATAATGAACCTTCAAACATGCATACTGATCTTTTTACCGTAGAAGCCAAGAGAGGAAAAGGAATGAAGAATTCGCTCTAACGAAGGGCTAACGCTCGGAACGTCATGCTTTGAAACTCTTTGCGGTGGCCAATTTACATCTCATCAACTCAGTTGATAAAAACAAAATTACCTTGAAGAATTTTTTGGCTTTGGGAAGAGCTGCTTCGGGATTAAGGTCAGATTTGAATGTATTTTAGATGCTTGAACTACCCCTTTAGGGAGCAAAATTTGAATTCAATATGAAAAAAATATGTCAAGTTCACGCTCTTTCTTTCTTAAATAATAAAGAGCAAAAGCACATTTTACGCGGAAATGAGCCAGGGCAATCTTGCGAAGAAAAGTCTTGAAATCTTTATAAAATGTTGTTGTGGAAAGAGACCGCTGCTTCGGGGTAAGGCGAGATTTGTATTTATTTTTGATGCTTGAACCACACCTTCAAGGAGCAAAATCTAAATTTAATATGAAAAAATATGTCAAGTTTATGCTTCTTCTCTCCTAAATATTAAGGGCAAAGGCACACTTCACTCGGAAATGAGGGCGATCTCGCGCGGAGACAAAGCCTTGAAATCTTTTTAAAATATTGTACAAATGTTTTACTCCCATTCGTTAACTGAATTTACGTAATGATCAAAGTGTTGGCGGTGATCATCATTATGGGATCTAAATTGATGATTAATTCTGACAAGGTCTTGTCCTGTCACATTGGCAGACATAAGGAGTTGAAAAAAGATTATTATTTGATCTTACGCTTTGTTCAATTATGGCGAGAGTTATGTCATACTAAATGTAAACATCGTTTGTTAAAAAAAAAAAAAAATAGAAGGCCTCTTCTAAACTATCATGTTGGGATCTAAATTGATGATTAATTCTGACAAGGTCTTGTCCTGTCACATTGGCCGACATAAGGAGTTAAAAGAAAATTATTATTTGATCTTAATATCCGCTTCGTTGAATTATGGTGAAAAAAAAAAAAAATAGAAGGCCTCTTCTAAACAGGCATCTAATTGTAATGAAATCTCTAACTATCATGTTTTCCCCTGAAATCAAATATTTTCTCCAATTTCCCATGATATACTTTCGAAATTAATTCTTCTCTTTGCGTTCTCAAACTGCTGATTTTTGCCTTTTATGATTTGCGTTCAAGCAAAAACTGCTATTTAATTGGAATAGAAAATTAACACACATCAAACATTAAGCAAATGAATAAAGGCTGAAAGTTTTTAAGCGCCCTTGTTGAATCCTTCAAAACTAGAGGATATATTACATGGCCGCGCGGGGATACGAATTGCAATCTTCGAGAGCTGTAAGTATCTCTCACGAGTGAACGAAGCGAACGAGTTATAGATACTTTCAGCTAATGATCAGAAATAACTGGTTTAGATCATACCTTGAAAACCGTCGTCAATCAATAATTATTAGAGATCAAGTGTCCACTCCTCGCACTCTTTGTGATTGCGTCCCACAAGGTTCCATACTTGAATCCCTACTTTTCACCCTGTATATTGCCCCTCTGCAAGATGTCATTGCTCGCTACAATCTCGACTTTTTGTTTTACGCCGACGACACTCAATTGTATATAACTATCGATCCCACAAATCAGGCCCCGTCTATGACTGCCCTCCAAACCTGCATTGAGGACGTAATGCGATGGAATACCCAAAATATGCTAAGAAGTAATGCTGAAAAGACTGAAGTTACTTTATTCACCTCCCGATTTACCAAGACACCTAACATTGAGAAGSTTTTTTTTTTGACAGTACCGTCATTGAACTAACAGAGAAAGTCCGTGATCTTGGTGTTATTTTCGATAAAAATCTAACACTAACATACCATATTGATGAGACATGCAGGAAGGCAACTAATGCCATCAGATTCATAGGGCGCATTCGTAAATACTTCACTAATGAAAACCTTAAACTATTAGTCAATCCTCTCGTTATATCACGACCGGAATACTGTAACAGTATCCTCTATACTTCAGAGAGTTCAAAACACTGCAGCACGTCTTATTACTGTATCTAAACAACATGATCACATCAAACCTGCTCTTTAAAAACTAAACTGGCTGCCAGTTGAATCACGAATAATGTTTAAAGTTATTCTTATTACTTTTAAGATTCTTCATGGACTTTCTCCGGTCTATTTTCATCCACCACGTACTCTACGTTCATCTTCCAAATCAATTCTTAATGTCCTCCCCCACTATGAATACCCTGACATACGGTGAACGTGCGTTCTCCTTCTGTGCACCTACATTATGGAATATTCTTCCTGATTATCTTGAATCTTCAGCTTCTCTTTCGTCTTTTAGATCTGCCCTTAAAAATTCCTATTCCGGAAATTTTATTTTTAGTATTGTGAAACACTACATAGGTTTTTATCCCATTTAACTTTATTTTTTCTTAGTAAAGGTACGACCGACTGTTAGTATCATTGTTGTATTTTATGTGCTATGTAAGCGCATTAAGATTCTTAAATGCGCTCATAAAAACCTTATTACTATTATTATTATTATTATATTTATAAACTATGTATTTTTTGAAAATATATTTACTGAAAAGTAAATTCCCTAGTCATAGTGCATGAATTATTTCCCTGTAAACAGAACGCTAGGTCTAAGTTATACTATTGCCTTCATATTCCACGTCACCACCGACATGAAGTGATTTTTCTAGAATACTGTCTAACTGTAGTCAAATATTTATGATTTAGTCTGCTTTCCCACTGCCAAGAAAATTAAATGAAGTAACTTAATTTGAATTTATCAGGAGGAAACTTACTCCTGACAGTTTCTGAATTGATAGAACGTTTAGCTATTCAATTAATCTAGCATTATAGTATATTGTGTGTTTTCAATTTGGTATTTAGGGGGTCATTAAGGGTGACTATAAAGTCTTTGGCTGTAACTTTGCCCCCATTCAAATGAAGTATACTACACCTGTGGCCGAGTTGATGTTTTGTAACAGTATTCATAAATGAATGATGCATTTGTACCGGATCCATCTGATTTTCCGGCGATCAAAACAGAAAATTTTTTTTCCAGTTGCTGCGTTTATTTGTTGGGTTGAGGATTGGTGACTAATTAAACTTTAATTGACGAGAACTGATGATAAATAAGAACGACAATCAAGAAAAAGAAATCTACCCTTTGTAGTAAATACGATCTGCGTTGTGGCATTAGAGGCTTTCAGTAATTAGAATTAAAATTTATGTGTCATTAGCTCTTTAAAACAACTTTTTTTCGTTATTCAGGCCAAAAGGAAATTTCAGCAATTCCGTTTTCAGTTCTCACTGATAAGGTGCATGGTTACCTATCTGGTTATTTGGTTGTTAGTACTTTCCCCTGTATCCAGGCGTTGTTCATATTTGATTGTTTGTTTCGCTGATGCACGTGCCAAATGTTCACTGATTGGTTGATTTCACTGACGAATAATGGTTCGCTTTTCTCTTATAGAAACCACGTTTCAGTTCGGCCAAATATTTTCATTGTATATCAAACCCGCTACAAGTACTTGACAAAGTAAAAAATCATGAAGAAAAAATCAATTGTATCTCAACGACAAAAGCAGACAGCATTTGGTTGGAGACGAGTCGCGTATTTTTTTAGTAAAAAAGAAAGATTGCAAGTTTTCAAACACCAGAAAAGCAGGAATTTAAAAGTCGAGATTGAGGGCAATGGAAAATCGCTATGTTCGGTTAAAAAGAACCGTTTCTATCTGGCTTTTTAAAACAGTGTTTATTAGTCTCTTTTTGAAACTTTTTGTGTCCTTAGAGTTTCTGAGCGTTTTCTCTAAATTATTCCAGTCTTTGATGGATCTATCCACATCATTTTCTGGCCCAATTCGTCTTTTACCCGATATCATGGTGGTTCAATTTCGGATCCGAGTTACTTTAAGGCTTTTCGTGGGGTAAATTTACAGCAAGTGATTGAATATGTGTTTTTTTTCTTCTCTATTTAATCCGACCAGGGAACGCTTTTGATGTTAGAGTCAAAAACTGTACTCAACCATCAATTCAAGGTCTTTTGGTCACGAATCAACCAAAGGGTATCATAGCTAGAGTAGGGGAGACCACTGGCATATAATAGGTTAAATCATAGTGGTAGTTACGATTGTCTCTAAGTGTGTAGACCTCTACATATAGAACGTCTCTTGATTGGGTGTTGTAAAACCTAAGCCACAGTAAACACAACGCCTTATTTAAAGAATGGAAAAGACCAATAAGAACTCAAAGGGAAAAAAAATCTGCTTAAAGCGCAGGAAAACGCGGGAGACCAAGTCGTCTGTGATTTGTTTTAGTTTTGCATCTGATTGGTTGAAAGAGTGGCACGAGTTTTGTGGACCAATCACAGGGCGAAGTAAATCAAAACCAATGCAATCCCGCATTACTTTCGACTCTCAATAGAAAATCGCTCTGAAGTAAAGATGATTTAGCACCAGAAAATTTGAATTCGGTTCGAAATGATTTAAGATTTTTTGTCCCCCCTGTCAAATAAGCAGCGATGGAGAGATTTTGTACTTGCGTATCCTTTAAATACAAAAATGGAAAGTAGTGACTTTCAAGTCGTTATTCGTTTATGTCCTATCGGGGATCATATTCTACATCAGGTTATTAGTTCAATTCAACACAGTAATATCGCAGAAAATAAACTGATACTGAAGAAGAATATTGATAAAAATTCCTGCTTTTGCAGATTTGAGCCATTACGGTAATCCGTAATATAATTTTCGTATATAATTTTCAAGACCCCATTTAAAAAATATATTTAAAATTCATCTGGTTAGTCGCTTTGTGAAACTATATTAAAACCCTAAATCGTATAATAAATTCTAAGAAACGTTAACTCTTCTTACAGACTACAAATAGTTCGCACTAGATTGGACAGAATCTCTGACTTGGAGGACGGAATTCTTCTAGGCCTCTGCAAATAACGACAGTGACACTTGAATAGTGATTGAAATGTGTCTTTCCACTCTGGTAAAAAATTTTGAAGAGCTTTATGATTTCGTGTTGAAGATCGGTTGTTGAAAGCAACAATCATCGTGCAAGCTTTCCTTAATCGTCGCGAATTCAAAAGTGCAACGACTAACACTTTTCAAAAATTGGTGCTAAAGCTTCTATGAATTATGTTGAGATTTTCATGACGTATTCAGAATTAACAAATTTCCATTAAGATCATTATCAAGAATATCAAAATTGCAGCGTGAAGATTTTATGTCGATAGATTTTCGAAGTACTCTTGTACTCAGCGAAGAAAAACAATGTAGGCATTTACAGAAATGTAAAAGATATGAAATCCATTAAGAACTAACAAACTACTCAGAAATTGCTTCTGAACACAGATTTATTTTTCTTTTTTCGCCAACATCAATGTCACTTAGTATTTTAAATTGCCAACGCAAATCAGCGGCTTTAGATCTGTTCTGGTCAGCAATAAAAGTCGTGTGAAAAATAGCGACAAAATAGCAATTGATAGACTTCTGCTATCGGGATATCATGCCAAAACCCAGAGTTAATTGAAGAAATTTTCAAACAGCATTTCCAGTGAGTATAAACGAGTTGTCTATAGGGAAAGAAAGGCAGTTTCAGCTTACCTCGTTGGTTTAACTTACCAATTTTTGATGGCTCCAGATGGGGTTCATCCGGCTCCCTTTCCGAGCGTGCCTCTTTCGAGTATAACATTGCTTACAGGTCCTTTATTTGTATTTTCTGATCCTGGCCTGCGTCGTCCCGCTTCGTCACGGAGCTCAGTGTAATCGAGCGTTCTTTACCCTCTGTCACTCGTTGACCAGTTCTCGAACGATTTGTATTTAAGGGCAATTAAAAGTTCGATGGGAACCGAGCCAAAAGATGTCCTGGTGAGGATAGATACATAATCATTCGAGAATAAACGAAACATGTTGCTTGAATGCAAGCAGACGATAAGTAATACTTTCTTGCTTCATCGAGATCCCGAAGCAGTTTGGAATTAATTGCATGTAGAAGAGATATTTAAATTAATGTTAGTATGGATATATACACCTAACGAAGCTTAGCTTGAAGTATCCAAGCGGAACATTTGAATAGGCCACTGAACGCACCCCGCAAGCGAGCACGATCTTATGTTTTTCCTTGTACCGCTTTTGGGGACTTAAAAAAGGAAATTATTTTCGAACACGATTGTTCCAAGGCATTTTTCCTTCCTTGTGAGTAACAGGTTAAACCTAGATCTGTGTGGATGTTGGTCGTAGCTTGTCTCATGGCACAATGTACACCCACAACCAAAGGCCCTTTGCTTTGGCGCATCCCCTGACTTTTTAGATTCATCTTACCACAGGGCCTGAATTCCTTTTTGCGTCCACCCCTAGCATCCCAAATTATCTCTGAAAACTACCCCTGTTGCAACAGACCAGCAAATGCCAACGACTTATGTTGTAATTGATCGAATTAAGACCTTCTTATGTTCCTTTTTATCCTCAGATTATCCAAACACTTTGAACTTGAAGTACGACTGGATTGAACTTGCCAAAACTAAAATAGAGGAGTGGGGTACCCTCATTCAGAAGTCAAACATGAGTACCTCTAACTCATCAACGGCATCATCAAGCCAGCCTTTCCCTGGAATAACCAACTTCACACGTATAACATACTCCATTCTCTCTATCGTCGCTATGATAGGAAACACTCTGGTTATTTTCGTCTTTGTCGAGAACAAGGAACTGCTCAGAAAATCGTACAACATATTGATTCTGTCCCTGGCCATATCCGACGTTATGACCGCCTTACTTCTCATCTCAAACCCAGCTTTTGTCCTTGGTAACGCGTTTCCTTATCCAACCAATCACGTCATTGGCGACATCTTCTGTCGATTTATATGGAGTCGTGTGATTCTATTCCAGTTGGTGGTTTTCTCCGCGTACATCTGTATGGCTTTGGCGACAGAGCGCTGGTATGCAGTAGTCAGGCCTTTGAGATACAACCAGGCTTTCAGTAAGAAGCGGACCCTCGTTTACATCTTCCTGGTGTGGCTATGGTCGCTTCTCCTGCTAAGTACAACCCCATTCGAAATCGCTTACGTTCCTTCGAATCCACCCAACCGCCGATGCAAATGGAAGTTTCTCTGGAGCCAAAACACAGCCCGTGTTGTTGTTGGAATAATCCAAATCCTGTTTAAAATGGTGCTTCCAAGTATGTCCATGTCGTGCCTGTTTATTCACATGGTTTACAAGGCAAGCAGGTCCAAAGTCGCCTCAGCTGAGAGCAAGGCCAAATTACGCGGGAAAATAACGCGCATGGTAGGCGCCGCCTGCTTCATGCTAATCATTTGTTTCGCGCCAAGTCAAACCAACTACGCTTTGGCAATAATTGGAAAAGTACGAATGGATACCAAATTACATCATATCCTTTCGCTTCTGGTATTTGTCAGCAGCTGTGTGAATCCGTTCATTTATGGGATAAGCAACAAGAATTATCGCAGAGGCTACCTCAAAATCCTGTTCTCAGTGTGTCCCAAAGCGATTGCCAAGAAAAGGTTTCAAAACGGCATAGAAGATGAAAGAGGCGCTTCACGACAAACTTTCGAGTCCAGACTTTAAAGCTTCAGAAAGAAATATAACTCTATTGAGGAAAGACTAAAACAATGAAGAGTAAGCTGTAAGAGAATAATGTTAAGGAAATTCCATCTATATATCGAAGACCGAAAAAAGAAGTCATGCCTTAACAAATTTGACTGTTTTTTTTTCTGACTATCTACTGAATGCCTATGCTGCCGGCGGAAAATTTGACTGCGATCGAGTTAGTTTTAGGTTACATCAAGGTTTCTTAGAAGCACGTAAACATCTATAAAAACTGATTTTTTTATTCATGTCATTTTCGTACTTTTAAATAATTTAGTATTAGTCAGTCAGTCAGTCAGTATGTCAGTCAACAAGTCATTAGTTGGCCAGTTAGTTAGTCGGCTAGGATTGAGGCTAAGCTACGTGGGAAATGACGTGGATTTTCAATGCAGCTCTCTCTTTGGTCACTGGGTGCTTCGCGTCAAATCAGATCGACCAAGAGATTCGCCATAAGCAGCTTACGGTCTTTGGGATCAACTTAGTATCGGCCAGGCTGGGAAACACGACTGAAAAGCGAGCTGCACCATAGATTCTCTACTTCTGAGTTTGCTCACAGCTTCTGTCAAACTTGTTTATGGGCTGAGAAACAGGATGCGCAGAAACAGTTTGCTTCGAACCCTGATTTAAACCTACTGCAAAGTCAGTGGAATTATTTGAATTAAAATGATCGAAAATAGTTGAAAAATTCCTCCAAAGTCTATCATTGTTTATCACAGGCTATAGTATGCATGGACAGTTTGAAAAGGTTACACCTACCAATGTACAAGAATTAACTTGAATAAGGGTGCACTTCGTAATTTACGGGCAACTTTTGGGTGAAAATTTAAGTGTTTCGGTCGTTTGACCAGCAGAAATAGGTGCAGTTTAGAAATCTGCCAAAACATTACGAATAACTATAATAAAATAATCCACGAGCAGTTCCTGGGGTTGTGTATTCTCAAAGAAACCACGTAACGCTTCTTTGTGTGTCTATGGTGCAGATTCCTTAAAACACTTTTTCCAAAGTATTGGAAAAAGTTCTTGTCCCCTTTTAATCATTCATTTGAATACAATTATCGTGGCAGACTGATTTCGTGAGAATGTGAAATACAGGAATCAAGTATTTGGCGTATTTATACATTTGTCACTGTCCAATCAGGAGCGAAAAAAAATTGTTGAGTTTATGATAAATACGAAAGCAATGAATTTTTTAAGGATTGCTAAATATGGTAATGAAAGTTAAAGCTGAACAGTTCGACGACAAGTGTGGGATATCTTATGTAATTTAATGGGTACAACTTAATGTGATGGTCAAGTTCTTCCGCATTGTCATCTGTTTGAGTTGTTTTTCTTCTTCAATAAAGTTGTTGTAAATAGATAAGTAAAAGAACAGATAAATGACTGTTTAAATAAATAAGAAATATGACGATCATGCTATGACAAATTTCTGTTTACAAAGTTAGTTCAGCTTCCACATACCCTATCTGACCACTATCCCTCCAATTGTTGCCGAAACTGTCGAGAAACCGCCTTAATTTTCCAAAGACCTCTCCCTTTCCATTCTTACTCTTCCCCTACCTTCCCTAATCAAAACTACTTTCTCTCTTCTACCGTAAAAGCCCTGCAAATCGATCTCGAAGCTACGAAATGGGACGCTCTCCGCTACTTTAAAAACGTTGTTCCATATAAGGAATATTCATCCCAGGCCATTTGAGACGCTGTTGTTGAATGCATACTAAACATGTGACTTGAGTTAACAGAAAAAAGATATTTGCCGGTCTTAAAAAACAAACCTGGACGTCATGTACAAATTCTACGTTTTACAGAGGTATGAACCTGGTCAGGGCGTTATGTTTAGGCAAACCTGGGTTTTGCAAGGTTCCCGAAGTTTTCAGTAAATTCTAAAACGAAATTTCCAACAAACCTGGGTCGTGTCCTAGTTTATATCAAACTTTTGTAAACATTTTAAAAGTCCTTTGTTAAGAGTTAAAGAGACGATTTTTTGTTTACAATTGAAGTAATTAACATACCTAAATATGAAAGAGGATCATTTATACGTTCAATCGTCTCTCTTCAAATATTAATGATCGTCAGCTGCAGATGATCATTAAGTTTTCTGGGCCGATATAAATTTTTATTGAGTATACTAGTCGTTTGCGTCGATCGGAAACGTTTGTGTTGGAACTGGAAAATTTAACATTGGTAATAACGAATGTGGCTGTAGAACATTCAACTGCCCTGTAAAGACAGATGAAAGATGAACGTACCTATCGCTATAGGATTAACGGTTGTTTCAATCTTTCTCCTTGCTGCTTCGTGTTTGTACTGTTTTAAAATATGGCGTGTGGCGCCGCTTCACACCTTACAAAACGAAGAGGAACTCTAAAGGAACAAATTCAATGAAATATCAAAACAAGTCTTGCAGACGTCTTCAAACGTACGGATGGCGATGGCTATATGTATTTCAATGAAACATATTAAACGACGGACTGAGTTTTTCGTGTACTTAGAAAGACCAGCCAAGGTACGATGATTGGAACTTAGCAACCTTGTGTTTTATATGGTATTCAAGCAAGATTGTTCTTTTATTTTCAATGCTGCTCAAAAATCCATGAAAGCAACGTTGAAACCATGGCTAAATCATCTCACATGTGCCCCGTAGAACTCGCATCATTAGGGACCTTACGCAACCACGAGGGCGACGGCAACGAGGACGTGGAAAAACGAGAGATCTAATTGGCAGAAAAATAGTTCAGCACGTGCGTTTTGAAAGTTTGTACATTTCTTAGCCGTCCTATACAAAAGAACAACGTAAAATCGCCAAAATTTGTGTCGTCTGCGAACCGAAACCGCGACGGCAAATTATTTTAATTTTCATTTGGAACTCAACGCTACTTTTATACGTCATGCTGAAGTTGAGCTGTGGCGCCATATGAGACAGTAAGCTCCTGCAGCCATGTTTGAAATTCTAACTAAGAGTAGAAATTCATTTTTTAATCGGAGTCTTCCTTGGCGTTGCCGTCCTGACTGCTTAAGGTCCCTANCAACAACCCACCCATCCCACCCTAGGGTAGGACATCCATCACACACTAATCTCATGCGTGGGAAATAAACGTCTCCTACTCCTAACCCTGCAGGAGACGGGACCTCCATTTATTCGTCCCTATCCGAGAAGACTAGAATATCTAAACCATTTCTTGATGTTAGAGAAAGGCAGCATATTCTTCTCAATTATTTTAAGACCTTGAATGTTGGTACGGCCGGAGCTCGTACCCTCGACCTCCCGCACATCAGTCCAGCGCTCTATCCATTGAGCTAACCGGGAGGCGCTATTTTTACGTATATGACCATCCACGATGGACATATTGAGGTTGCACAAAGCACGTTGAGAAAAACAGCCGTACCTTGAGAACGTGGACCCCATTCTGGTCGATAGTATTTCACGTGTTGGCAAGAGATAATTTTCGGGTCTTCTTGAGTCAAAACATCAGATAACTCTGCTTAAATGTCATCACTTGACCGATTTCTCTCTCTCTCTCTTTCTCTCTCTCTCTCTCTCTCTCTCTCTCTCTTTCTCTCTCTCTCTCTCTCTCTTCTTCTCTCTGTCTCATATGCCTTTTTTCCTTTCAAACGCCACCCGTTACTTACAATATCAACATTCGTTATTTTTTATGTATGCTATTACATCTTTTCTCATAAATAAATGCACCCTCGGCACAAACAAAAAGACTGTTTTCCGTCGAGGGGGGAAGCCAATAAGTAGTAACATTTCAGGAAGTGATAAATTTCTAATCTGTTAATATTGAAACGATTGAAACAAAACAACAAAGAACCCATAGTGAATCGACTCCAATACCAAAGAAGGATATATAAAAAAAAGTGAATATATAAAAAAAGTGAATAAATATGCGTTTCTTTTAAAGATTAATGTAATAATGAATTTAAAAAACTCAAGTTATAAATCTAGATAAGAGGGCTTCACTATTTTTTCTTTCAATTAACACCCATCACTTAAAACACTTATATTTGTTTTTTAAAATTCTTTTATCATTCGTCTTAAAGAAGACTACCATTCGTTCAAATCCAATTACTCCACCCCCGAACGAGTTAACTCTTTGGTGGACACCTTTGATGATATCATTAGTAATTGAAAGCTAATTTCAAAGCCGTTCATAAATGTATTGTAACGTTTGGCAAACAGGAGTACATTCAAATGAGGTAATGAAAGTACTAGATCATCTGCTACTAAAGTTTTTTTTCAGGTTTACAACCAACTTTGGATTTGTCTTCAAAATAAACAAAGGGAAATAAAAAGGAATGATGCCGACAGATTTGAGAAGATGATCCGTTCTGGGCCTTTCTAAAGGGTTTTTGCGGACAAAGGCTATTTCTTTTTTTTTTTTTCTTCAGTTTATACTGACGAACCGGACTTAGAACATTCGACCGACAACAACTATTCACTTGATTCTGATGACAACTTCCGCTCAGGTTGTCGAAACGTCAGTCACCATTACTGATAACAGGACCACACTCACCCGGACGATCAGACTACACTATCACATGTGACACACGGGTTCAAGCTATTTCCTGAAAGACCATTGACCAGGTAACTCTAGCACAAAAGGGAGCTTTAAGATTATTGCTATGTCTCGTCCTGCAGTTGTGAAAATACACATAACTTAACTTTCCTTGCAATATCTAGAGCGCAAGCTAAATGAACTGTTAAGTAATAATAGTACAACAAGTAATATTTGCGCAATATCAGCTCGTCTCGCTCTTCAAGTGGATACTACCAAAGTTTAACTGGAGGGATTTTCTAAATCAAAATCTCGATTGTCAGAAAATTTCTCAAAGTCCACCACCTGCGCGGGTTAAAAGGCGAGAATACTTATAAGAGGGCAAGTAGACTCGATAGCCTACAAGGCAAGTGAGAAAACACGTGTCCCGCGGAACGATCCCTTTTGAAAATATTTTGGGTAAGCAATCCGGTCGTGTTCTGGTGAGTGTGGGGAAAATTCTATCCAGTGGAGGAGAAAGAACGTGATGGACTGTTTTGCGAGATGGGCTTTGGCCAGAAATAAAAGACCAATATTTAGAAGTCGAGAATTCGTTCGCTAACGTGATTTCTTGCATCCCGTGGACTTTCAAGTTCGAATAGTACACTTGAAGTCGACCAGATTAGCAGAAAGAAGTTATCAACCATCTTTTTTGAGAGAGGCATGCTCCCTGTCAGACTCCTTCGGCCGTGCTCATGCCACGAAAATGGCGTATCTAATCCCTACTCCCCGCTCGTTCCTATGCTTTGCATATCTACGAGTAAAAATTGTGTCGTGTTCTAACGAAGTATTTTGAAGGACAGAGAAAGGAATTTATCCACTCGGCAGATTTTGATATTATGCATCGTTGATATGATACCATGCACATACTCAAAACATCTTGGATTCTTTCGTTCCCTTTCCACGTTAGCTTCCTCTTACCGATGCCTCCTCGATGACGTATTATTCTTTTTAAGGCAAAAGAGGCGGAAGACGAAAAAGGGACGAAATCAGTCACGAACATAGGTATGGCGCCACACTTTGGTTTAAATGCCTACGAGATAGAAAGAGACATTCAATTTTTCTTGCCAGGATTTATCGCAATTGTGATCAAACTTGCTTCCATGGTTGCCATTCCATGACAGTGATCCACAGTAAGTAATTATTCAGGGAAATCTCGCGCTCACGTTTCCAATCGCACATGTTTTCCCAACCACGTTCTCTTAAGTCATGTGTTAATTAAGTGTTGAAACGGCACTTACCACGTAATAGCTTAGAAGCTGATGTAAAATATGACGAAAGTAACCTGGCCGGAATACTTGCATAAAAAGCAAGTCTGCCGATCACGAAACATCGCGATCCCTTCGGTGAATCAAACTTGAGGAAAGTACAGAGCTACACCATGGTAAAAGATCAGATGTGACGGAAAAGCGGTGATAACTTCTTGGTAAAGGCACTTTTCTCATCCGCGAGCGAAAGAAAATTGGAAATGAGAGTCTGTAAGGTGACAGAATTGCGTTTTGCTGAAGAAGAAAATTACTTTCTGCTACCATCCAAGTTCGGAGCAACCAGACGGATGGCGATTTGTTCTGCTATTGAAGAGGAAGACAGAAGCAATGGGAGAACTCTTGCAGAGCTGCGAAGAAATTTAATTGTATGTCACACTTTGGAAAAAGTAGGTCTGTTGTAAAGGATATTTATTGAAAATTAACTGAATTCGGTCTGAATTTTCTTCCCAGCTGCTTGTCGTCCCATGGTCTTGCTTTTAATACTTCAACTACCATGATCGGTTTTTTAGTAATTCTGTCTGCTAGCTGTTACAGATTCCCTTGTAAATAGTCAAGATGATTTCATGCTTCATAAAAAAGATCCCAACTGATATTTTTTATCACTATTTGCCGCCACGTTTTTGTTGAATAATAAACTGAAAATGTGCTAAGAATTAAATGTTTCTTTGCAACCGAAGATCAGCCCTCAGAAGTGTATAAATATGATATAACCAGCGTCAAAAGCTGTTCGGATCCTGTTTTCCCCAAACAATTCGTATCTTGATCAGAATTTATACCTTTCATCTTTCGGAAATTATTGCCATATAAGTCTGTCGTATTCCCTTGAGCAAAAGGTCACCCTTCCCCATCCTTTCTTCACTTCGCCAGCAGTTACAAACTACAGGAGCATATGTTCAGCTCACCAGTTCGTAGAACTTTTTGGATAGGTTTTTAAAGGTGACGGAATGAATATCATCGCGGATTCTCGACGTGACCCCAGAGAACACATGATTCTTTTTACGCTCCGAAGCTATAGATGGAACGAGGCAGTTTTGTTTTGTTTTGGTTTTTTCGGCTAAGCGAATTTCAGACCGATTAGAACAAAAATTATCTTTTTTGAATTTACTTTTTCATCATGTAATCAAAGTATGGCCCTGAAAAGCGAAGTTCTCCTCAAAAGGAAACCTTTGGAGTTAAGAAGGTACCGCCAAGAACTTGCCACCGGCCACTTCGATTTCAATTCCACAGACTTCTCCCGTTAATTTTTCTACTAAGGGAATCTCAGCACAGAAAAAAAAAAAAAACACTCTTTCTTGAAGACTTGTTATTAACATATATTTTTAAAAGTTCATATACATGCAATTTGGCCAGAATGAACAGTTCTATTTATCAAGACCCTCATCATGTTAGACTGTAATTACCGCCACCTGGCGTAACGTCCAAAAGAATTCGGTCCCAGTCTCAGAAAGAAGAGGGGCAGTCTTGTCCATCCCTTCAATTGCAATAAATTGACTACCGAGACTGCAATAGAATGTAGTTCCTGGGAACGAGCGAGCAGCAGGCCCGAGTCATCTCCAGTCCCTACAAGTCATGCAACTCGTCTAAATTTTCGTTCAGGGAAAATAACAATGTTCTTTGAAATTCTTTACGCCGGACTTTGGTACTATAACACTAAATGTTGTAATGATTTAAACGCGGGGAGAAGGTGCCTCAAACGTGGCAATAATCTCCGAATGTGTCTTTCCGGCCTTCCTCCCCTCCCCTCCCCCACTTATCAATATTGTCACCATCGTCTGCTTCCTTTTTGGGAGTATTGTTGCGCACGTAAGGTAGAGAATGATGCGGATGAGTGTGGATTAAGTCGGTAAGAGATAATAGGAAATTCAGAGTGCCATAAAAGGTTTTATCCGCAGTTAGGGTTCAAAATTACCTCAAATGATATAAAATTGTGGTTTAAATGCTGTCAAGTTACTCACATCACGACGTTATTTCATGAGTATTCCGTGTTCACGCTTTTCCGCTGCTCGTGGTTTTATGACCACGTTTTATAAGGTCATGTTTTGCATGCAGAACCGGTGCGGTTGTTGCGTAATCTCTTATTCACCGGATTACAGATGCTTGTTTCCCTTGCACAGTTCGTGTCTTTTCCTCAAACCGAAGCGAAGAAACCTACAGAGCCGCAGTAGGGAGAAAAACCAAACGAAAAGGTATAGCATCGAAATCTGTCCGTTAAAGGAGTTCAGTTTGCCTTCAAGGCAGAAAGTGGAGTCAGTAAGGTTGCAGATTCGCATTCAGATGAAGGAGAAAGTTGCAGACACCCACCAGAATCTAATGTTAGAGTAACGAGACGGATGGGGATTTGTTCTGTGATTGAGGAAGAAGACAGACACTGTGGGATGGCACTTGCAGAATTAAGAAGTAAACTTATCTTGTGTCACACTTTAGAAAAATTCGGACTATTCTAAATGGACTCAACTTGGAAGATCTCAAATGTACTTTGATTGAATTAAATGCTTGTAGCGAGATATGTATAGCTGTATGTTGTACTTAGAAGAATTTCAAACCATCAGATGGTCGATGCGAGCTCCGATGGCAGCAAACTTGACTTGTTAATGTGGGACCCTATGCAATAAGAGAAGTACTGGGCCGAATTTAACATTAAAACGAGGTCCTTATTAAAGGCCAGCGTCTTACCTGGTGAACTCTTTGTCACCAACTTCTATTCGATTCTGTCCAAAAAATATCCGAGTTTTTATAATTTTCCATGCCGACACATTGCTGTGTCCCTCTTTGTCATCAGAGAGGCTATTTGTCGACCTCTGGAGAGAAGATTTCATATTTTACTTTCCCCAAAGACAAAGTTTTGAAGCGTCAGTGGATTCACGCCATCCGTCGTGAAGAAGGACCAGAGTTCAAAATATTGTCGTCAACAAAAGTTTGCTCGCTACATTTTAAGACTACTGATTTAAAGAAGTCCTTGAATGGTATAATAACTCTAAAATCTAAGGGTGTAGTGCCTTCCAAGTTCTCCTGGACTTCCGAAAAGAGTAAAAGAAAGTCACCAAGAAAAATACAGACGACTGAATCAACAAAGCCGGCTACAAATATTTTGCAACCTGAAGCTACCACTTCTGACTGTGCAGATGATATCACTGAAACGATTTTGGAGAATTCGGAAGAAGATATTAATAGTCTCAAAGAAAAGATCTTGTCTCTGGAGAGAAATCTAAATACTGCTCAAGAACGTGTGAATGATCTCGAGAAGGAAAACAAGGCCCTGCGAGCAGAAGTGAAACGTTTAGAAGGACAAAAGAAATCTTCCGAGTCTAGAGTCTTTACAGTGGAACATTTTAAATCCAAAGAAGATATTTGTTACTATACTGGCTTTCCAAGCTATGAGACATTTCTTGCTGTTTATTCGTTCTTGGACCCAGGAGAAAATGGTGAAAACATCCGATACTGTACCGCTTCGACCCGGGATAGAAGTGTGCCTGATAATTTCTCTTATGTTGATGACAGTGCAAGCGGAAGCAGTGAAACTACATACAGTGAATATGAGCCAGAGGAAAATCGTCGCCTAAGGGGAAGGCCTCGAGCACTGAAGGCGATTGAGGAATTTTTTCTTGTTTTATGCAGACTAAGATTGGGCTTTGGAGAGAAACATTTAGGCCATTTGTATGGTGTCTCTGAATCAACTGTGAGTAGAATCCTAATCCCTTGGATTAACTTTATGTACTTAAAATTTGGTCAGATCTGTATTTGGCCTTCAAGAGAAAAGGTTGATGAATGCATGCCAGAGAGCTTCCCCCAGAAATACAAAAGTACTCGTGTAATTATTGATTGCAAAGAAGTTAGGTGCCAGATTCCTAGCAGTCTGCTTTTAAACAATGAGCTTTCTAGTTCATATAAGAACCATGTAACCCTTAAAGGCCTAATAGGCATCGCACCAAGTGGAACTGTGACATTCATTAGCCAACTTTATACAGGAAATATCTCAGACAGAGAAATTGTCACCAGGAGTGGACTGTTATCGCTTGATTTTACTAGTGGTGACTCTGTTATGGCAGACAAGGACTTTACAATTGAGGACATATTGCCTTTGGGAGTTTCTCTTAATATTCCTCCATTCCTGGGAGGAGACTCTCAGATGTCTCCAGACTAAGTAGTGGAAACACAACAGATTGCAAGTATGCGCATTCATGTGGAGCAGGCCTTTAATAAAATAAAAGACTTTCATGTTTGGGATGCTGTTGTGCCACTAAGTTTGTTTGGTGTGGTGAACCAGATGTGGTGTATCTGTGCATTTCTATGTAATGTGCAGGACCCTATCATTTCTGACTGAGGAAATGAATCTTGGCAAATAATTTCTTTTAACAATTTATAAAATTATTACATAAAAATACTTAACAATGATTGACTTGGCAATTGATTAAACATGGCAGGGTATTCCTTTTGCATGAGAATGTACATTGTTACATTTACCTTTCCACATCACCTGCATAGTCAAACTCATAGAAAACAAGATGAGAAATGTCTTAGAAAAATTAAAATTAAAGATTTGTTAATGTATTATTCATGATGAAAGAGTGCAAACACTCTAACAGTGAAACAGCACCATATAAATAAAACTAATAGACCTCTTTACATTCATATGCAAATTGCCCACTTCAGATCACATGTCATTTTCACAAGAAAGAATCGACTCCCAAGAGTACCATCACATGGTCTGAAATGGGCACAACAAACAATGAAGGTAAAAAGGTCTATTTGAAGTAAATAGCACTAATGAAACAGTAGAAGTCAATAGACATTCATTGATTTAGTGCTATTCAGTAGCACTATGTAATTAGTTTAGTTGTTTCATGCTTTTAGTATTTGTATTCTAAAATATACATCTTACTTACTCTTACTCTGTATATTTTGAGTTGGTGATATTGTTTCGCCTGTGAAAACATTGGCAAGCTACTAGGTAGTAGTAGTAGTAGTAGTAGGCTGAGGCCACCATTTCTCTTGTTTTTTTGTTCTGAACAAGTACTAAATTCATAACTGTAAGATGGTGTAGTGTGTATACTGCATAAAGGTCCACTAGCAGGGATTGGCAAAACCTACTGTATGGGCATTTTAGTTTTACTTCACTCTAAGCTGGTTAAGCTTAATGAAATCTACTGTATCTATTATGTAGATATATGAAGATTAAAATAAAAATGATCAAAATTCCAGCAACTTAGTTCAAACAGTTTGTCTAATCTTGCCTAATTGATGAAAATTGAACTGAAGCAGGACCAATGTAGTGTTCAAAGTACCCCTCTAGACTTGGAGAACTCGTTATCCTTAAGAATGTTAATCAGACTTCCTTTTTCATTCAAGTAGCGTTGAAAACTTAGCTGGAAGCCACTTAAAGAACCCGGCTCGTACTCAGTGCCATTTTGTTTACGAACGGAGATGAAAAATTTTGACAAAAGAAGGTTGAGCTCATTGGCAGGTATGTTTTCCATTACTCTAGACTCTTTTAGTGACTCACAAAATTTCTTTCATGCGTTCAAATCGCTCTTAGTCTTGTATTGAGTGTTTTTCTATTTCTGCTCTTGTAAAAATATCTCAATTTCGACTTCATCTTTGCTCGTAGATGCTTACTCTTTCCCTTTTCCTGCTTCCTCATGAAGGTCTAATAAATCTTCCATTGCCGAGTATTACGAGCAGGAACAAGCAAATTTTTCTATTCTTTGTAACTTTTTTTCTAGACCGGTCTAGATGCCGGTCTAGATGGGAAAATCTAGACCGCTTTCAATATTGATTTCAGCCAATCAAATTCGTGAATTCGGTAGTTCCCAGTCCTTGTGAGACACAGCCATATAATAATGTAATATAATACTAAGCTTTTTCAATCCATCAAGTGGAATTTCTGGTAAACATTGGTCGCAGCACAATGACTTACTGCCTTCCCCAAAAAGGGACCGTCCAAATTAAGTTGTACAAGTGATTTATCCATTTAGTGCCTTTTGCCTCTCTTCATTAATTGAGTCGGTGTACGAATAAAAGAATAAAGCGAGTCAGTTCAATTGTAGTCATTGTATTTGTTTTCGAATATTGAGACTTTAGCTTGCTTCAAACGGCTGGATCAGACTAAGACCAAGGCAACATATTTTTACCGCTCGCCTTTGAATTCATGTCCTGGTCTGGGTTAGAAAACTTGGACTCCCAACATCTGTTGAGTAGAAATTGTCCATGCTTGGAATCGCTTCAGATTCCCTTGTTGTTAGTCAAGATAATTTAAACCTATATCAAAAACCCACCCTCTAATTATAATGTTGGACGATTCCCACCGTATACGTGGCTTTTTCGACAGATATCATACTCAGATTGTGAGGAAAAGTTACTTGAACTGCTAGGATAAACCATTAGAGATAAACTGAGCAGACAGACCGATAGAACCAGCGGGCGTCAAAAATCATTTGGACGAATTTCCGCCAAACAATTCAAAGTCCAATTTACTTTTTCCCATCAATTTTAGTCAGTAGTTTGTTTTGAGTTTTGTTATATTTCCTTGACGAAAAAAAATGCACGTGTTACTGCAAACAAGAGGTGACCTTATAGAGACTTCCCGCCCTCATTTTTCAATGAGGCGTGTTTGAAACTGTACAACACTTAGGCCTAATCAATTACGTTGACCGATGACAGATTACATCTTAAGCAAGGCACGTACTGGGAGTTTGGTCCGCTTTGAAGTATGTTTTATTTCTTTGACGACAAACGTTCAATTGTAACCACAAACAAGAGGCAGGAGGTCACCTTCTCCCCCCCTCC